CCTCCAGCACTTCCAGAGTAATATATCGCAATAACAAGAATTCTTTGAGGACGGACCAAGGACAGACTGTGGACGAAGGGCGATTTAAATAGCCAACCATCAGATGATAGTGGGCTAAAAACATCTCTACTAACATGACTGTCTGCTACAAGACAGAGTAACAAGACAATCAGTAACAAGACTGTCAGTAACATGACTGTTAGTAACAAGACTGTCAGTAACAAGACTGTCAGTAACAAGACAATCAGTAACAAGACTGTCAGAAACATGAATGTCAGTAACAGGACTGTCAGTAACAAGACTGTCAGTAACAAGACTGTCAGTAACATGACTGTTAGTAACAAGACAATCAGTAACAAGACTGTCAGTAACATAACTGTTAGTAACAAGACTGTCAGTAACATGACTGTCAGTAACAAGACTGTCAGTAATGTGACTGTCAGAAATGAGAATGTCAGTAACAAGATTGTAAGTAATGTGACTGTCAGAAATGAGACTGTCAGTAACAAGTCTGTCAGTAACAAGACTGTAAGTAACATGACTGTCAGTAACAAGACTGTCAGTAACAAGATAATCAGTTACATGACTGTCAGTAACAAGACTGTCAGTAATGTGACTGTCAGAAATGAGACTGTCAGTAACAAGTCTGTCAGTAACAAGACTGTAAGTAATGTGACTGTCAGAAATAAGACTGTCAGTAACAAGACTGTCAGTAAAAAGACTGTCAGTAACAAGATAATCAGTTACATGACTGTCAGTAACGAGACTGTCAGTAACAATACTGTCAGTTACAAGATAATCAGTAACATGACTGTCATTAACATGACTGTAAGTAACAAGACTGTGAGTAACATGACTGTCAGTAACAAGACTGTCAGCAACATGACTGTCAGTACCAAGACTGACAGTAACATGACTGTCAGTAACATGACTCTCAGTAACAAGACTGTCAGTTACAAGACTGTCAGTTACATGACGGTTAGTAACAAGACTGTCAGTAACAAGACCATCAGTAACATGACTGTCAGTAACAATACTGTCAGTAACAATACTGTCAGTAACAAGACTGTCAGTTACAAGACTGTCAGTTACATGACTGTCAGTAACAAGACTGACAGTAACAAAACTGTCAGTAACAAGACTGTCAGTAATGTGAATGTCAGAAATGAGACTGTCAGTACCAAGACTGACAGTAACCAGACAATCAGTTACATGACTGTAAGTAACAAGACTGTCAGTAACAAGATAATCAGTTACATGATTGTTAGTAACAATACTGTCAGTAACATGACTGTCAGTAACATTACTGTCAGTAACAAGACTGTCAGTTACAAGACTGTCAGTTACAGGACTGTTAGTAACAAGACTGTCAGTAACAAGACTGTCAGTTACAAGACTGTCAGTTACAAGACTGTCAGTTACAAGACTGTCAGTTACATGACTGTTAGTAACAATACTGTCAGTAACATGACTGTCAGTAACATGACTGTCAGTAACAAAACTATCAGTAACAAGACTGTCAGTAATGTGACTGTCAGAAATGAGACTGTCAGTAACAAGTCTGTCAGTAACAAGACTGTAAGTAACATGACTGTCAGTAAAAAGACTGTCAGTAACAAGATAATCAGTTACATGACTGTCAGTAACAAGACTGTCAGTTACAAGACTGTCAGTTACAGGACTGTTAGTAACAAGACTGTCAGTAACAAGATAATCAGTTACATGAATGTTAGTAACAATACTGTCAGTAACATGACTGTCAGTAACATGACTGTCAGAAACAAGACAATCAGTTACATGACTGTAAGTAACAAGACCGTCAGTAACATGACTGTCAGTAACAAAACTATCAGTAACAAGACTGTCAGTAATGTGACTGTCAGAAATGAGACTGTCAGTACCAAGACTGACACTAACATGACTGTCAGTAACAAGACTGTCAGTTACAAGACTGTCAGTTACATGACTGTTAGTAACAAGACTGTCAGTAACAAGACAATCAGTAACATGACTGTCAGTAACAATACTGTCAGTTACAAGATAATCAGTAACATGACTGTCATTAACATGACTGTTAGTAACAAGACTGTCAGTAACAAGATAATCAGTTACATGACTGTCAGTAACAAGACTGTCCGTAACATGACTGTCAGTAACAAGACTGTCCGTAACATGACTGTCAGAAACATGAGTGTCAGTAACATGAGTGTCAGTTACATGACTGTCAGAAACATGACTGTCAGTAAGAATAATGTCAGTAACATGACTGTCAGTAATGTGACTGTCAGTAACATGACTGTCAGTAACGTGACTGTCAGTAACATGACTGTCAGTAACAATACTGTCAGTAACAAGACTGTCAGTAACATGACTGTCAATATGGATACAGATGTTTTGTTACCCTTTTCCATGTTTGTTTTCACTGTATTGTTACTGGAGGTTGCTATGAGTAATACAGCTAGTATAGTTTGTGTCGCCTGAAAAATCTGGGAGATTCAAGCTTCAAATCTCTTTACAGGTAAATCATCATCAATGCAAGCAAAATAGCAGGGTAAAGCCTCTTTTAGGGGTAGAATGTGTTGGGCATCTTTTAGGGGTAGAATGTGTTGAGCATCTTTTAGGGGTAGAATGTGTTGTATCTTCCCACTGACAAGAGTTTAGAGGACTTGTGTATATATATCATTATCCAAGTCACCTCCCCACAGTACTTCTAGTGGGTTATTGTTAGGTTATAATTACAGACACAAGTGTTTATGATAGATGTTTAACATGGTGCTGACATCACAGATTTACACAAAGTCTTATAATTTAAATAAAATTTAGTCATGACATATAGTTAAGGGCAAATATTGTCTTTAACCTTGGTGAATATGACCATATTTTTTGGCCAAAGTCACTGTATCCATATGGAAACCATCAAATGTTGGGTTGACAAATATCATATTCACCTCAGAAAAGGGCAATAGTTGTTTAAGGAGTAATACTGACCGTGTTAACAGTACTGAATTACACGTTTATAGTATATATATATATATATATATAGTATCATGCTATTCACCTTCAGCGGTGCTTCTCAAGGCCAACAGCTGTACTTACATGCAAAAAAATATATAAATACATCTTATTTCAGGACTTACAACACTCATGCATGCAATGTGGCTCTCGTTCACTAGAAATACATTTGATGGCAGATTCAAAGGACCAGATCAAGTAAAGCTGAGAGGAAGTATGTCGTAATAAAAATAACTTAAAACTTACTCAACATGAACTCACCAGCATCTAGCCAGCCCTCTCATTGCAATTAGAAAGAGTTACAGGTGTTACGAAACATAGTCTTTAAAGTGTTACGAAACATAGTCTTCAAGGTATTACAAAATATAGTCTTCAAGGTCTTACAAAACATAGTCTTCAAGGTCTTACAAAACATAGTCTTCAAGGTGTTACGAAATATAGTCTTTAAAGTGTTACGAAACATAGTCTTTAAAGTGTTACGAAATATAGTCTTCAAGGTGTTACAAAATATAGTCTTCAAGGTCTTACAAAACATAGTCTTCAAGGTCTTACAAAACATAGTCTTCAAGGTGTTACGAAACATAGTCTTTAAAGTGTTACGAAATATAGTCTTCAAGTTGTTACAAAACATAGTCTTCAAGGTGTTACGAAATATAGTCTTCAAGGTCTTACAAAACATAGTCTTCAAGGTGTTACGAAACATAGTCTTCAAGGTGTTACGAAATATAGTCTTCAAGGTGTTACGAAACATAGTCTTCAAGGTGTTACGAAACATAGTCTTCATCGTATTATTATCATAGGTAACAAATATGACAAATCGCTGCATAAAATTTACCTATTGGTAAAACAGTCAGAATTTATATTCTCAGATATCTTATACAATCATGTGTCTCCCTGTATTTCTGGTGAACTATTATTTTAAAAGGGGCACATGCTTACATCCAGATTTATGTCTGGCACATTATGTGTGCATTTTTCATGAAAACTTAACACAGCCAAATAAATTGATATGTCTATACTCATATGAGGTTTCATTAAAAATCTACACAACAAGAACTATTTGTGGTTTTAACAGGCAAAATCAACAAATGGACAGTCGGCACCTTCCTTACGATCATAATTTTGAAATTCTTTTCCAGACAATAATCAAAATTTAAATTCTCATCACTGATGACCACTTCGTAATTGTGTATCTAACTGTAATTCAGCAAACTGCTACAACGAGTTCAATATACTGAGATATAATCATTTCTTTCTACAGGAAATATATAGATGGATCATAGCAACATTAGCAGGTTAGCTCAGTAAAATGTCTGTATTGTATTGGACCTTTTCAGTGCCCTATCCAATAACACTGTCTATTATAGCCATTCAAATTCTGGAAGTTCTAAACTCCAATGGATGTACTACTACTCCTGAGTTGCTAGACACCCAGGACACTTGTAATGTTGAGTACAGAAGTGTCTTGTTTAGGGCAAAAACATAGCATTAAAAGTGTCTATATATCTTGAGTAAGAAACAGTTCTATGATTAAGTAGATTGTCAGTATATGTATTTTGTATAAGGCACAATAACATGATTGATTAAATTGAATGTAAGTATTTCTTAGATAAGACACACACAACAGAATAAAACATCTCTTTCATATACTGTTTAGAATGTTCATTACCAGGTATATCATAGAAAGTAGATACCTTAAAGTCAAACCAATGATTTTAATAAGAGGAATAAAATGTTCTGAATATGTAGATTTAGCAACAAGCCAGCCTAGTTGTGAGCAAAATACGTCTGTCCCGTTACGTTTTCTATCATAATATGGTGAAATAATGAAGCTCCATAGAATACAACAGTATAATGATGTCCATGGCCGATAAGATTTCCATTTAGTAATTTATAGATGTGGGTTAGAATAACAGACGAGGGTTAGGTAACCATTCACATTACCAGAGCAGGACATGCTATTATCTAGGATAAAAGTCACTTCTTACTTCTTGTGTGGAGCGATGCCTTAACAATATCTGTAAGAAAATGTTTAATTTTACACAGCATCGAAAATATCTGGCTAGACCTTTATCAGTAACCTTACATACAGCAATGATAATATCTGGTTAGACCTCTGTCAGTAACCTTAAACACAGCAATGATAATATCTGGTTAGACCTTTATCAGTAACCTTAAACACAGCAATGATAATATCTGGTTAGACCTTTATCAGTAACCTTAAACACAGCAATGATAATATCTGGTTAGACCTTTATCAGTAACCTTAAACACAGCAATGATAATATCTGGTTAGACCTTTATCAGTAACCTTAAACACAGCAATGATAATATCTGGTTAGACCTTTATCAGTAACCTTAAACACAGCAATGATAATATCTGGTTAGACCTTTATCAGTAACCTTAAACACAGCAATGATAATATCTGGTTAGACCTTTATCAGTAACCTTAAACACAGCAATGATAATATCTGGTTAGACCTTTATCAGTAACCTTAAACACAGCAATGATAATATCTGGTTAGACCTTTATCAGTAACCTTAAACACAGCAATGATAATATCTGGTTAGACCTTTATCAGTAACCTTAAACACAGCAATGATAATATCTGGTTAGACCTTTATCAGTAACCTTAAACACAGCAATGATAATATCTGGTTAGACCTTTATCAGTAACCTTAAACACAGCAATGATAATATCTGGTTAGACCTTTATCAGTAACCTTAAACACAGCAATGATAATATCTGGTTAGACCTTTATCAGTAACCTTAAACACAGCAATGATAATATCTGGTTAGACCTTTATCAGTAACCTTAAACACAGCAATGATAATATCTGGTTAGACCTTTATCAGTAACCTTAAACACAGCAATGATAATATCTGGTTAGACCTTTATCAGTAACCTTAAACACAGCAATGATAATATCTGGTTAGACCTTTATCAGTAACCTTAAACACAGCAATGATAATATCTGGTTAGACCTTTATCAGTAACCTTAAACACAGCAATGATAATATCTGGTTAGACCTTTATCAGTAACCTTAAACACAGCAATGATAATATCTGGTTAGACCTTTATCAGTAACCTTAAACACAGCAATGATAATATCTGGTTAGACCTTTATCAGTAACCTTAAACACAGCAATGATAATATCTGGTTAGACCTTTATCAGTAACCTTAAACACAGCAATGATAATATCTGGTTAGACCTTTATCAGTAACCTTAAACACAGCAATGATAATATCTGGTTAGACCTTTATCAGTAACCTTAAACACAGCAATGATAATATCTGGTTAGACCTTTATCAGTAACCTTAAACACAGCAATGATAATATCTGGTTAGACCTTTATCAGTAACCTTAAACACAGCAATGATAATATCTGGTTAGACCTTTATCAGTAACCTTAAACACAGCAATGATAATATCTGGTTAGACCTTTATCAGTAACCTTAAACACAGCAATGATAATATCTGGTTAGACCTTTATCAGTAACCTTAAACACAGCAATGATAATATCTGGTTAGACCTTTATCAGTAACCTTAAACACAGCAATGATAATATCTGGTTAGACCTTTATCAGTAACCTTAAACACAGCAATGATAATATCTGGTTAGACCTTTATCAGTAACCTTAAACACAGCAATGATAATATCTGGTTAGACCTTTATCAGTAACCTTAAACACAGCAATGATAATATCTGGTTAGACCTTTATCAGTAACCTTAAACACAGCAATGATAATATCTGGTTAGACCTTTATCAGTAACCTTAAACACAGCAATGATAATATCTGGTTAGACCTTTATCAGTAACCTTAAACACAGCAATGATAATATCTGGTTAGACCTTTATCAGTAACCTTAAACACAGCAATGATAATATCTGGTTAGACCTTTATCAGTAACCTTAAACACAGCAATGATAATATCTGGTTAGACCTTTATCAGTAACCTTAAACACAGCAATGATAATATCTGGTTAGACCTTTATCAGTAACCTTAAACACAGCAATGATAATATCTGGTTAGACCTTTATCAGTAACCTTAAACACAGCAATGATAATATCTGGTTAGACCTTTATCAGTAACCTTAAACACAGCAATGATAATATCTGGTTAGACCTTTATCAGTAACCTTAAACACAGCAATGATAATATCTGGTTAGACCTTTATCAGTAACCTTAAACACAGCAATGATAATATCTGGTTAGACCTTTATCAGTAACCTTAAACACAGCAATGATAATATCTGGTTAGACCTTTATCAGTAACCTTAAACACAGCAATGATAATATCTGGTTAGACCTTTATCAGTAACCTTAAACACAGCAATGATAATATCTGGTTAGACCTTTATCAGTAACCTTAAACACAGCAATGATAATATCTGGTTAGACCTTTATCAGTAACCTTAAACACAGCAATGATAATATCTGGTTAGACCTTTATCAGTAACCTTAAACACAGCAATGATAATATCTGGTTAGACCTTTATCAGTAACCTTAAACACAGCAATGATAATATCTGGTTAGACCTTTATCAGTAACCTTAAACACAGCAATGATAATATCTGGTTAGACCTTTATCAGTAACCTTAAACACAGCAATGATAATATCTGGTTAGACCTTTAACAGTGACCCATAAACACAGCAATGATAATATCTGGTTAGACCTTTATCAGTAACCTTAAACAAAGCAATGAGTAATATATACAGTGTATCCTCCAGGTTTGTTTAGAGGCATTGGTAATGTTATACAGGCAAGAAGTATTTGAGATAAAAGATAGGGTGGGGTGTTTTGGGTTGGTGTGTTTCCTCAAGCCCACAACCAAAGAAAACACTGAGGGTGAATGAAGCATACATTTACCAAAGGTAAACCCAATAAGCGGGAAACCATTCTTTTCTAAAAAAACACCCAGTATTTTTACACCAAAAATATAGAAACATTCAGTGTTTCCTTGTCGTCACTTGATGAATAGATGACCTCCAATGGGTGACAATACACACCAATATATTAAAGCCTTGCTTACAATAGTGATATAACCCAATTCCAGTGTGTTTACAACTGTTAGTATGGAATAGTAAATCAAACTGTTTTTAACAATTCAACAATAACCTGCTGACTGTAGCTTCAGGTTTTTTTAAAGCTTTTGTAACAAAATAGTTTGGTACTTAATAATAAATGTGAAATGATGCACAGACAACTGACTTATCACCAAAAATAACCCACACAAACGTTTTATGGGTGGGATACCTTATAACCTGCTATTATATCTAGTCTTACCAGACCTGCTATTATATCTAGTCTTACCAGACCTGCTATTATATCTAGTCTTACCAGACCTGCTATAATATCTAGTCTTACCAGACCTGCTATAATATCCAGCCTAACCAGACCTGCTATAATATCCAGCTTAACCAGACCTGCTATAATATCTAGTCTTATACGACCAGCTATAATATATAGTCTTATACGACCAGCTATAATATCTAGTCTTACACGATCAGCTATAATATCCAGTCTTACACGACCAGCTATAATATCAAGCCTAACCAGACCTGCTATAATATCCAGTCTTACCCGACCAGCTATAATATCTAGTCTTACCAGACCTGCTATAATATCCCGTCTAACACGACCTGCTATAATATCCAGTCTTACACGACCTGCTATAATAGCTAGTCTTACACGACCAGCTATAATATCTAGTCTTACACGACCAGCTATAATATCCAGTCTTACACGACCAGCTATAATATCCAGCCTAACCAGACCTGCTATAATATCCAGACTTACACGACCAGCTATAATATCTAGTCTTACACGACCAGCTATAATATCCAGTCTTACACGACCAGCTATAATATCTAGCCTAACCAGACCTGCTATAATATCTAGTCTTACACGACCTGCTATAATATCCAGTCTTACACGACCAGCTATAATATCTAGTCTTACCCGACCAGCTATAAAATCCAGTCTTACACGACCAGCTATAATATCCAGCCTAACCAGACCAGCTATAATATCCAGTCTTACACGAGCAGCTATAATATCCAGCCTAACCAGACCTGCTATAATATCCAGACTTACACGACCAGCTATATCTAGTCTTATACGACCAGCTATAATATCTAGTCTTACACGACCAGCTATATTATACAGTATTACACGACTAGCTATAATATCTAGTCTTACCCGACCAGCTATAATATCCAGTCTTACACGACCTGCTATAATATCCAGTCTTACACGACCAGCTATAATATCCAGCCTAATCAGACCTGCTATAATATCTAGTCTTACACGACCAGCTATAATATCCAGTCTTACACGACCTGCTTTAATATCCAGCCTAACCAGACCTGCTATAATATCCAGTCTTACACGACCTGCTATAATATCCAGTCTTACACGACCTGCTATAATATCTTCCCTAACCAGACCTGCTATAATATCCAGTCTTACACGACCAGCTATAATATCCAGCCTAACCAGACCTGCTATAATATCCAGTCTTACCCAACCTGCTATAACATCCAGTCTTACACGACCAGCTATAATATCCATTCTTACACGACCAGCTATAATATCCAGTCTTACACGACCTGCTTTAATATCAAGCCTAACCAGACCTGCTATAATATCCAGTCTTACCCAACCTGCTATAATATCCAGTCTTACACGACCAGCTATAATATTCAGTCTTACACGACCTGCTATAATATCCAGCCTAACCAGACCTGCTATAATATCTAGTCTTACACGACCAGCTATAATATTCAGTCTTACACGACCAGCTATAATACCCAGTCTTAGACGACCAGCTATAATAGCCAGCCTATCCCGGCCTGCTATAATATCTAGTCTTACATTGCCAGCTATAATATCCAGTCTTACACGCCCTGCTATAATATCAAGCCTAACCAGTCCTGCTATAATATCCAGTCTTACCCAACCTGCGATAATATCCAGTCTTGCGCGACCATCTATAATATTCAGTCTTACACGACCTGCTATAATATCCAGTCTTACATGACCAGCTATAATATCCCGTCTTACACGACCTGCTATAATATCCAGCCTAACCAGACCTGCTATAATACCTAGTCTTACATGACCAGCTATAATATCCAGTCTTAAACGACCTGCTATAATATCAAGCCGAACCAGACCTGCTATAATATCCAGTCTTAAACGACCTGCTATAATATCAAGCCTACCCAGACCTGCTATAATATCCAGTCTTACACGACCAGCTATATTATACAGTCTTACACGACCAGCTATAATATCCAGTCTTAGACGACCAGCTATAATATCCAGCCTAACCCGACCTGCTATAATATCTAGTCTTACATGACCAGCTATAATATCCAGTCTTAAACGACCTGCTATAATATCAAGCCTAACCAGACGTGCTATAATATCCAGTCTTACACGACCAGCTATATTATCCAGTCTTACACGACCAGCTATAATATCCAGTCTTAGACGACCAGCTATAATATCCAGCCTCACCAGACCTGCTATAATATCCAGTCTTACACGACCAGCTATAATATCTAGTCTTATACGACCAGCTATAATATCTAGTCTAACACGACCAGTTATAATATCCAGTTTTACACGACCTGCTTTAATATCCAGCCTAACCAGACCTGCTATAATATCCAGTCTTAAACGACCTGCTATAATATCTAGTCTTACACGAACAGTTATAATATCTAGCCTTACCCGACCAGTTATAATATCAAGCCTAACCAGACCTGCTATATAATATCTAGCCTTACCAGACCTACTATAATATCAAGCCTAACCAGACCTGCTATAATATCAAGCCTAACTAGACCTGCTATATATAATATCTAGCCTTACCCGACCAGCTATAATATTTAGCCTTATAATTACCCGACCTGCTATAATATCTACCCTAACCAGACCTGCTATAATATCTACCCTTACCCGACCCGCTTTAATATCTACTCTAACCAGACCTGCTATAATATCTACCCTAACCAGACCTGATATAATATCTACCCTAAGCAGACCTGATATAATATCTACCCTAACCAGACCTGCTATAATATCTACCCTAACCAGACCTGATATAATATCTACCCTAACCAGACCTGATATAATATCTAGAGTTCTATTTCTTACCATTTTATCTGCATCCGTTAGAAGTTTTTGGAAGTGTTCATCGTCTGTTAACCAAGATGGAAGCTCTGTCTCCCCTACAAAATAAAGACTTATAATTAAATTCTCTTCCATCAAGTCCAATATCTTAATTCCTTTTCATTTCCTGATAACTTCCTGTTCATTAAATTTTCCATTAACACCATCAATTTCTTTGATTCTACAAATGTTATTGAAAAGTCAAGAAATAAAATTGAGATATTAAATCAAATGTCACCGATGATAGTGAGACAAGTAATATTCAAGTCCCCTGCTACAGATGTTTCTCATAATCTCATAATTTTTGCCCATGTGAATTATTTTCTTTACCATTCTTTATAACCGTGCATCATTGTTATAATATAAATTGATGAGTGTATTATATAAACCTTTTGCCTTGGCCTGCTGAAGGGTAACTGTGAGTTCTCTAAGGCGATTTATGTCATCATCAAGATGACTCAACTTCATCTGGGAAGCCTGAAGGTCAAGCTCAAGGTCAATGGAGGTTCGTAGGGGGATCTTCTCACTCTTAGTACCACCGATGGTAGCCTACAACATATTGACATCAGAAATAGAAATCCTCAAGTTAAACTGGTGGGTTGGGAAGATACAACTTTATATATTGTAAGATTGTTACAAAATATTTTTATATAATGTTCTCACTAAAAGCCGGTTATCAGTAGCCTACTTTTCACCAACAGGGAACCCGTAATTTTTTCGGTATATGTATAGGTATAGAGAATGTGTACATTTAACTAGCTATTCTTTCCAAGTCAACCACCTGCTTCAAAACTTAGTGAGAACACTGAAAATACTTCCTCTTAGTCATGTAAAAAGGTGAAAATCCAGTTTTATGACGTTTTCAGTAATACCGGTACATACCCTCTTCCACCTCAAGCTGCGTCGCTCCATCGAATGCCTCTGGAAAGGTCCTTTCTTGAAGTGTGGCATTGAACTATCACTGTCACTTCTGTTTAGCTGGAAAGGGGAGATCATTATTTGTAATGCAAATTAATCAAAGTAAATTGATGTGAATGGAGTTGATTAGCAGTAAGTTTTAAAAGCTGTTTAGAGAATATGTTTATACAGGGGCAAACAGTAATAAGGTCTAATTTAGCTCGAGTGAAAGAAGATACTAAGATGGTCAAGGGTTTTTTCCTTCATGTTTTTTAATCTTTTTTACCCCTGTGACAATGAGAGGTAATTCATTTTAGCCAAATCGATTTTCCCCAAATCTAAGAAAGCGAGTAGTCAAACGGCATGATCTCACCCGCTTTGTGCTAGGTGTGACTATCATAATCTCACACGCTTTGTGCCAGGTGTGACTATCATAATCTCACACGCTTTGTGCCAGGTGTGACTATCATAATCTCACACGCTTTGTGCCAGGTGTGACTATCATAATCTCACACGCTTTGTGCCAGGTGTGACTATCATAATCTCACACGCTTTGTGCCAAGTGTGACTATCATAATCTCAACTGCTTTGTGCCAGGTGTGACTATCATAATCTCACACGCTTTGTGCCAGGTGTGACTATCATAATCTCACACACTTTGTGTCAGGTGTGACTATCATAATCTCACACACTTTGTGCCAGGTGTGACTATCATAATCTCACACGCTTTGTGCCAGGTGACTATCATAATCTCACACGCTTTGTGCTAGGTGTGACTATCATAATCTCACACGCTTTGTGCCAGGTGTGACTATCATAATCTCACACACTTTGTGTCAGGTGTGACTATCATAATCTCACACACTTTGTGCCAGGTGTGACTATCATAATCTCACACGCTTTGTGCCAGGTGACTATCATAATCTCACACTCTTTGTGCCAGGTGTGACTATCATAATCTCACTCGCTTTGTGCCAGATGTGACTATCATAATCTCACACACTTTGTGCCAGGTGACTACAGTATAGATCTTGTTTTTGTTTATTATGCTTACTTTGCAGACATAGTTGTTGCCCGGCCTACAGGCAGGAGAGAAGGTCTGTGAGCGGCGTATTGTGCTGCCGCGGGAGCTGGTCACACTTGGCTGCGGAGGGCGGCGTTTGATGGTAGGGTGTGCTGTGGCATAGATACCATCAGTATTGGTCTCCTTGTCACAGGTGGCCACCAGATCTTCCTGGTCGGAGTTATCGTTGTCCACCGCCTTATCGAACTGGTTGAGAATTTGTTGGATATGCAGATGATCGTTGTAATCCTGTACGGGTAGAAACACACCACAATAAAAAACATCATTTGGAATAAGCACAAACTTTCCAATTGCATGTTGAGTTTAAACTTAACAACCTGAAAGTTCAAATATTTGTCACTCTAAAATTACAGCTAGCAGATATTTCACTTTAAATCTGATTTCACGATAGAAACATTGGCACACTCCAATCCCCTGTCAGCAAGCCGGAGCCAATCACTTCAGCCAAAAATTGATTAGCATAGGAATTGTCTCCCTTTGTACATATTTCAAAAATAGAAATTGAAATTGCCCCTTTTTGCCAATAATTGATTCATCTCACACCATTAAAACTAATCTCACACAAACCAAAGTGTGAACGGTTGGACCGATACTCACCATACCATAGTATGTCCTGTCAAGATGTATTAAGTTATTGTTACTTGACATAACTTCCATAAAATATTTACATTTTTCAACCACATTTGTTTCCAGAGTAACTATAGTTTTATAAACTTTTCCTCTGGCTTGTGAAATGTTTTTCTTGATAACTATGATTTAACTGAAGTTACATAAAGAGTTTGTTAACTGACCACTTCATCTTCGTCTTCCTCGTCATCCTCCTCAGGCCCCATAGCCAATCCCATGTCCGTGTGGTACTCCATGTCTTCTGGACCTGAAACAGGACCACCAAACCTTAGTCAACACAGCAATATCATTAATGTTCACTTTTTATCACGAAGATGGAATCTTCTCACTTAGGTAAATTCAACCCTGAGTAAACAGTATGAAGTACCATGGAGAAAATTCGAAACAATGCACCAATACATTTTATCTTAAACATTTCAGCTATTTAATTCTTAAAATCTAGCTCTAATTGAATTAGATAATTCAATAACACCTGGATTTCAATTTGTTGATTTAACCTACACCTGATGACCTTGACCTACGTATACTGACTTTGTGTATGTTTGACGTGTGACTAGTGGCCTACCTTGATCTCGGGTAAGAGTAGACGCCTGGGAGGAGATGGCGTTGGACCTACCCTGATTCCTGGTGAGAGTAGAGGTCTGGGAGGAAATGATGGTCGACTCGTCACTGCTCTCCTCCTTTAGAGAGGCTATCGTGGGGTGAGTATTTCTGAAATGACTTCAAAAAAACATCACATTTATACATTTTGTTGTAAAACACAACTAACTTTAAGCATTTCATACATACAAGGACATGATCAACTGGACATCATAAAAAGCCCATTACTTTAGTATCATATTAAAACAAGATTTATTTTACTGAAAACCTTAACATCATATACTCCCAGGGGTCCTCTATAGAGATTATCTCCCCTGTTTCCATCTTACCAAGTTGCTGGTTTTTTTCTGTGCAGTCCTTGTTATGATAGACTATACCTGTTGTCCCTTGTGTTGGCCCGGTCCTCTACCGTTCTCTGTAACCGTACCGACGACGCCTCCAGTAGCTGCTTCACTTTGTCAACAGGTTCTGTCTGTAATATACATCAATCAACATCTGTAGTTATTGTCATCATGAGAGCACCAACTATACTGACCACACCAACACTGACCACACCAATACTGACCACACCAACACTGACCACACCAACACTGACCTGACCACACCAACACTGACCACGCCACCACTGACCACACCAACAGTGACCACACCACCACTGACCTGACCACCCCAACTCTGACCACACCAACACTAACCTGCCCACACCAACACTGACCTCACCACACCAACACTGACTGACCAAACCAACACTGACCACACCAACACTGACCTGACCACACCAACACTGAGCACACCAACAATGACCACACCAACACTGACCTGACCACACCAACACTGACCTGACCACACCAACACTGACCATGCTAATACTGACCACACCAACATTGACCATGCTAATACTGACCACACCAACACTGACTGACCACACCAACACTGACCACACCAACACTGACCATGCTAATACTGACCATGATAACACTGACCACACCAACACTGACCTGACCACACCAACACTGACCATGCTAACACTGACCACACCAACACTGACCTGACCACACCAACACTGACCTGACCAACACTGACCATGCTAATACTGACCACACCAACACTGACCACACCAACACTGACCCGACCACCCCAACACTGACCATGCTAATACTGACCACACCAACATTGACCATGCTAATACTGACCACACCAACACTGACCATGCTAATACTGACCACACCAACACTGACCACACCAACACTGACTGACCACACCATCACTGACCACACCAACACTGACCACACCAAAACTGACCTGACCAACACTGACCATGCTAACACTGACCACACCAAGACTGACCATGCTAACACTGACCATGCTAACACTGACCATGATAACACTGACCACACCAACACTGACCATGCTAACACTGACCATGATAACACTGACCATGCTAACACTGACCATGCTAACACTGACCATAATAACACTGACCAACCAACACTGACCCATGCTAACACTGACCACACCAAGACTGACCATGCTAACACTGACCATGCTAACACTGACCATACTAACACTGACCATGATAACACTGACCATGCTAACACTGACCATGATAACACTGACCATGATAACACTGACCATGATAACACTGACCACACCAACACTGACCATGATAACACTGACCATGCTAACACTGACCACACCAACACTGACCACACCAACACTGACCATGCTAATACTGACCACACCAACACTGACCATGCTAACACTGACCACACTTACACTGACTACACCAACACTGACCATGCTAACACTGACCACACTTACACTGACCATACGAACACAGAATACAGACCACACTTATATTAACGAAACTTAAGCTCACCTCACCACACCAATACTGACCATGCTAACACTGACCATGCTAACACTGATCACACCAACACTGACCATGCTAACACTGACCATGCTAACACTGACCACACCAACACTGATCATGACCTCACCACACCAACACTGACCACGCCAACACTGACCATGCTAACACTGACCACACTTACACTGACCATGCTAACACAGAATACAGACCACACTTATATTAACGAAACCTATGCTCACCTCACCACACCAATATTGACCACACCAATACTGACCACACTAACTCTGACCACACCAATACTGACCACACTAACTCTGTCCACACCAATACTGACCACACTTACGCTCACCTCACCACACCAATATTAACCACACCAATACTGACCACACTAACTATGACCACACCAATACTGACCACACTTACTCTGACCACACCAACACTGACCACACTAACTCTGACCTGACCACACCAACACTGACCATGCTAACACTGACCACACCAACACTGACCATGCTAATACTGACCACACCAACACTGACTGACCACACCAACACTGACCACACCACCATTGACCACACCAATACTGACCACACTAACTATGACCACACCAATACTGACCACATTTACTCTGACCATGCTAACACTGACCACGCTAACACTGACCACACCAACACCGACCCCCCCAACACTGACCCCACCAACACTGACCACACCAATACTGACCACACTTACTCTGACCATGCTAACACCGACCACACTAACTCTGACCACACCAACTCTGACCACACCAACACTGACCATGCTAACACTGACCACACCAACACCGACCACACCAACTCTGACCACACCAACACTGAGCACACTAACTCTGACCACACCAATACTGACCACCCCCAACACTGACCACACCAACACTGACCACATGACCACACCAATACTGACCACACTTACCCTGACCACACCAACACTGACCACGCTAACACCGACCACCCCAACACTGACCACACCAACCCTGACCACACCAACATTGACCACACCAACACTGACCCCACTTACACTCACCACACCAACACTGACCACACCAACACTGGCCACACCAATACTGACCACACTTACTCTGACCACACCAACACTGACCACACCAACCCTGACCACACCAACATTGACCACACCAACTCTGACCCCACTAACACTGACCACACCAACCCTGACCACACCAACATTGACCACACCAACTCTGACCCCACTAACACTGACCACACCAACACTGACCCCTATACACTGACCACACTAACTCTGACCACACCAATACTGACCACACCAACTCTGACCACACCAACACTGACCACACTAACTCTGACCACACCAATACTGACCACACTTACTCTGACCATGCTAACACTGACCATGCTAACACTGACCATGATAACACTGACCACACCAACACTGACCATGCTAACACTGACCATAACGCTGACCATGTTAACACTGACCTTGCTAACACTGACCACATGAACACAGAATACAGACCACACTTATATTAATGAAACTTATGCACAACTCACCACACCAACACTGACCCCACTTACACTGACCACACCAACACTGACCACACTAACTCTGACCACACCAATACAGACCACACTTACTCTGACCATGCTAGCACTGACCATGCTAACACTGACCATAACGCTGACCATGTTGACACTGACCTTGCTAACACTGACCACATGCACACAGAATACAGACCACACTTATATTAATGAACCTTATGCACAACTCACCACACCAACACTGTCCCCACTTACTCTGACCACTCCAACACTGACCCCTATACACTGACCACACTAACTATGACCACACCAATACTGACCACACTTAGTCTGACCATGCTAACACCGACCACACTAACTCTGACCACACCAAAACTGACCACACTTACTCTGACCATGCTAACATTGACCACCCCAATACTGGCCACACTTACTCTGACCATGCTAACATTGACCACACCAATACTGACCCCACTTACACTGACCACACCAACACTGACCCCACTTACACTGACTACACTAACTCTGACCACACCAATACTGACCACACTTACTCTGACCATGCTAACACTGACCATGCTAACACTGACCATGCTAACACTGACCACACCAACACTGACCATGCTAACACTGACCATAACACTGACCATGTTAACACTGACCTTGCTAACACTGACCACACGAACACAGAATACAGACCACACTTATATTAATGAAACTTATGCTCAACTCACCACACCAACACTGACCCCACTTACACTGACCACACCAACACTGACCACACCAACACTGACCCACTTACACTGACCACACCAACACTGACCACACTTACTCTGACCATGCTAACACTGACCACACCAACACTGACCACACCAACACTGACCACACTAACTCTGACCACTGCAACACTGACCAAACCAACTCTGACCACACTAACTCTGACCATAAGAACACTGACCACACTAACTCTGACCATAATAACACTGACCCACTTACACTGACCACACCAACTCTGACCACACTAACTCTGACCATAAGAACACTGACCACACTAACTCTGACCACACTAACTCTGACCATAATAACACTGACCACACTTACACTACTGACCACACTTACTCTGACCACATTAACACTGGTAATACTAACATAAAGTTACTTTTAGGTACTAGCCAATTTAACGGTGTAATCTTACTTATAAAAATTCACCCGTCATATAGTAAGTAGCTGTAAGCTCCCTGTACATCTGGACTAAGGTAAACCAGCTGTTTGTATGTAGGGTAAAAGTTACTCCTCACCGGTCACCTACCTGTTGTGATGATGAAGATGATGTCGGTGGCAAGCTGTTTGAGGATGGTGATGATGATTCTTCTGATGGTTCTGAGCTGTTGTCCTCCGTTTTACTCTTCGGGATGGGTTTACTGGTGACTGAGTCGGCCTGCATGAACTTGAAGCTGAGTACGTTATACCAGCGTATAGATGTGACCTTAGGGTCGAAGTCGGCCAGGCTCACCTGTGCACATCCCTATCATAAAGCAACTAAACTCAGTAAGGCACAAACTCACACAAGGCTCAGTTAGGTTTTTTAATAGTGGCATCTGTAGTTCCATACTTTGGGATATTTTGGGTGTTGTTTTATTTTTGGTTTATTTGGCGCTTGGAGTGAACATGCCAAAATTTAACACATCAAAATTTCACAATGACAAAAATATGTCAATGCAACATCTGGATTTCGGCAAACTGTCTGCCTACTCATTTGTTATGCACTAATAGCTGAATTCAGTGAGCCATATAGCATAGATTTTTTGGACAAAAAATACAGTTATTTTTTTACAAAGTATGATATGTCAAAAGATTATCAATCATTATACTGTCAATTTGCAGTTTCACTTGTGAAGACCATGTATAGAGCAAGTCAAACCTGCTTAATTTCTGTCTATGCTGGAGACAAAGAACCTACCAGGCACTCCTTTCCTAGTTCCTGGTGTAGACTCCACACATGCACCTGCAGAGTTTTGTTCAGCAGTTTTGATTCAGCAACTTTTGCTCGGAAGGCCTGACAGAAGCGGGGATTTTTGAGATCGGCAGACGACTGGGTCTCCCACGGTAGATCCGTGTTGTGGGGTAGAAGGGCAGCCTTTATATATCTGAATCAAAGCAATTTAACTATCAAAGATATTTCTTGTTCTGGTTAGTTATTAGGAGAATTTTCATGTGTAGGAACATCTCAAAAATCTGACATGGGAATGAAATATAAAAGAAAATAATTTGATAATATGATTTCATCAACTGTACATGTATAAAGAAGATTTTCAAGTTGATAATATTTCTGAGATCAGTTAATTACATAACTATATCCAAAGAACTTCCTTTAAAAGACCAAACTTATTTAAGAAATATGGTACACATGTAATAGCATCCAGGCACAAAAAAGAATGATACTCACACTTTGCTTCCTGCAGAGAAAGCTAATGCTGATAGATTTCTGGCTTGTTCTAGCACCACAACAAGATTTCCCTCTGTGTGATCGTACCTACAAAACAGATATATAAAGTAACACTTAGTTCCTGCACCACAACAAGATTTCCCTCTGTGTGACCGTATCTACACAACAGATATATAAAGTAAGCCTTGGTTCCTGCACCACAACAAGATTTCTCTCTGTGTGATCATACTGGTTTTAGAAATCATGAGATCAAACTTGAACCCACATCTTCTGGTTTAGAAATCATGAGATCAAACTTGAACCCACATCTTCTGGTTTTAGAAATTGTGAGATCAAACTTGAACCCACATCTTCAGGTTTTAGAATTCGTGAGATCAAACTTGAACCCACATCTTCTGGTTTTAGAAATCGTAAGATCAAACTTGAACCCACATCTTCTGGTTTTAGAAATCGTGAGATCAAACTTGAACCCACATCTTCTGGTTTAAGAAATCGTGAGATCAAACTTGAACCCACACCTATTGGTTTTAGAAATCGTGAGATCAAACTTGAACCCACATCTTCTGGTTTTAGAAATCGTGAGATCAAACTTGAACCCACATCTTCTGGTTTTAGAAATCGTGAGATCAAACTTGAACCCACATCTTCTGGTTTTAGAAATCGTGAGATCAAACTTGAACCCATATCTCTGTATCAGAATTTTCCAACCATTTGATCACAGTTGTTTACCTCATATTCACGTCAGCTCGGTATGAACTGTTGTACATACATTACTTATTGTTTTACTTACCTAAGTTTGATCTGTATTTGAGCACTTTCTAAATTCATCTCTAATGCTTCATCTAATACATCCCTGAAACACAAAACAAAACTAGAATTATGTCAGTGTGACATTAAAGCCGCTCACCACTTTAAATTTATTTGCTTCAGTAACACATTGAGCATCAATATCTACTATAATACCTCAGATATGTGTTCTGTATTCTGCTAATTGAAAATCAGGTCATGTGATGATGTTGCCTTTGGAATTTCCAAAATCAATCATCTCTTAAATGATGCCTTAAAAACATTTCTCCCTCTTCTCTTTTTTCACCCTCTTTAAGTGTGATGCATTGTTGTAATTTTCATTAATAAGCATCCTCCAATGATTTGACATGAGCATTTACGTGCAGAATGGCAATCGGTGAATGGATAAGAAAGAATAGGTGCATTTTGGTCTTGTGAAATGAAGGATAATTAACAGTAGTGGGAAAACATGTATGGAGAAAAGAGACATTGTACTCCTTTTATTTTTATTTATTTTTTATTCATATTAATAATAATTATTAATATATGTAGTGACTTTATTAACTGTCATTGAATATACAAAATCTCACAAAATCTCACAAATGTTCTAGGAATATATTTGAATTATATTTCTCAATGCGACTTTACTAACGTAAGAGTTATTTCCCTTACACCGGATCGGATAATATTTTGACACGGCGCGAATTCTTGTCAAAGAGCAGCGGCAGTTGTGTCATGTTCTTAAATTGTTACATTTTCATAAACAAATACACCAGAAATAGCATGCTGTGTTACAGAAATGTTTGATAAGCATACACAGTTCACATATCGTCTCGTCTCAGAGCCATTACCGTTATCAACCTAAGCACTGTATGTCATATTTCACAGTTGCTCAAACGCTCAAACCTAGTGCACGAATTTCACCACCACAACACTCGTAGAATGTAACGGAGATAAACATTTTATTTTCAGCAATTATTTAAAGTATGGATTATTATTTGGAGAAGAGTATCAGAAGACTTTATGTAACCCACAGGTGAGTGTCAGAGACTCTACTTTCTATTTACGATGACGAAACTATATAGCGCACGCACCCCGAATGGAGGCGGGTCCGTCATTTCGTTCTCTGGACAGAATTAATAAGCCGCTCGGCTCTCGCCAAGAGCGGCTTAAAAATAATCACCGGTGTTTTATTTTCATTATTCATTTTGGCGAACATTTTTTTTTTATGGAATAAATTAGTATATCTTGTTCAGTATACTAGACAACAGAGAAAGGGAGTACCCAACAACTTGTCCAGTACAGTAGACAGTAGTACATACCTGAGAGAGCTACACACGGTATAATCCTGCAGGTTATTACAAGTCTGTTATCACCGACGTCACTGGTACTGTGACTTACCGTATGATTTACTATTTATATTACCTGGCAGTTTTATAACAATAATGAGACACAAACTGACATAACACATCTTTATTGGCCTGGATGTTAGCCCGCAGGGTGTCTTAACGTTAGAAAACCTACGTGGTCTGGCAGGTGATGACTCGGTACCTTTTCAAGTCCCATTGGGGAATTGAACCTGGCCATCTTGGTGAAAGGCAAGTAAACTATCCACTGCACCTAGCGACCACTCAAATTTATTGTAGTTCCGTAGATGCTTACAAATTCTATTTCATTGTCCTGTAAAATCCTATCTCTCTACCTTGAGTGAGGGATTATGGGTTGGCCCCCTTGGTTTACTGAAGGGTAAATATGGCATTTGCATGATTTGGTCAATAGGTTAATTTTTTTACCCTTAAGAAATGTGATCTTAAACAGTTAAGTAAGACTAGATATATTGTTGAATTGAGGGCCTAAACCAAGGTATTGTCCAGATTGTAGTTAATATTTTTTCTTTCTTTTGGGAAAATAAAGCACTTTTTTGCTGTATTCTGCTGTAAAACAAAGCAAAAGAAATTTACTGAACACATATTACCTACCTTTTAGTTATGTTCATGGATGCCTCAAACACTCCACTGTCACCGGCCACAGACTCGTCACTGACAGCAGCAGAAACACTACGGGTATTTGCCCCCGACAGATTGTTGCCCACTCCTGAGCTACTCTCACTGATGGGACTGAGGGGAGGATTTGACATTACCTCCATGCTGTCTGGGTACTGGGGCGGGGCGGCCCTTTTGGGTCCAGACACCACCTGTGAGGCTGGATCCACAAGGTGATCACTCGCGCCCATTACTGGCCTGTTGTTAAGGGTGGCGCTGAGAAACAGATTAGTCCGTGCACTGTTTTCGGAGCTGAGTTGATGATGAGAGAATGACGAGTCTAACACTACTTTTGATTGCTCTGTTTCCACACTGTTAGTTGTGACGGGGGTCAGGCTGCTGTTACTACCAAACAATCCCACTCGTTGTCGCTCCACAGACGTGATGTGGTCCTGGTAAGATGGAGGTGGGCCCACATCATACGGGGACACCGGGGGAGAAACAGACGACAACGACGACAACGACGATATTGATTTCATGGACGATGATAGTTCTGTATTGCTTGCTTTAATGCTTTCCATGTAACCTCGGGTTGCCGCCGACGTAATGTCCAACCCTGGCGCTACCGCCTTAGGGTTTTCATGTATAGGAGATATACTGTGTGCTTTTAACAACTTTTCTAACCGTCTGTGAAGATCGTGAAGGTTTGTTTCCGACGGCGACTGCTGCTGGTAGATGTCAAGCATGCTGAGTGAGGTGAGAGAACTGTGGCTACAGGAGGACAGGGAGCCGAGGGATCCCAGACTAGAACCTGACGACATGGACAGGGTGCTTACCGACAGACTGAAACACAACAACACTCCGTTACATGAAGACAGGCTAGTCATAACTGGTAATCACTTTATATATGTGTGTACTTATTTCACAAGTTCTGTAGATTTTATAGTGAATAACTGAAAGAAGGATTGAGAGGATGCTGTTTACCATCTATGGCATTAATATTATCAGATAAGATTTTTCAACAAATCAGCTCACAAATGAACAAGAAAGGAAATATCTCACAATAACAGGTTTTCAGTCTACAGAACAAACTCTATGTTAATTAAACACTTGGTATATTGACTGTGTAAGCTCTATTTTGATAAATTTCTGATGACTGATTTTTTATTTCATGTGTAAAATACTAACTCCAACGAGACACTAAGGACCCTGGATAGCTCCCCAGTCTTTGCTTATAAATATGTTGAATATGATACATGTATAGTGAAATATACACAGGGAGAATACAGCAATGAAAATCTTTATATATCTACGCTTATTCCTATCTAGGGCTTCAAATTCTGTAATGGTCACTGTTATATTTCCACTACCTGACAAGGAATGTCAGGAATGCTCTATACTTATAAAATCTTGCTGAAGGGTAAACAGATTTACCTCTATATCCCCTACTGAGCTACATGGTTCTACTCCAGCAGGAACACAGCATTTGTTTATATATCATGTCCCCTTGATCTAGGGATCCTTTACATCAAATTTGGCAAAATTTTCTTAATTAATATTGAATGCAAAGATTATCAATATTTGGTCCCGCTCTCTAAACTTATATTGAATGAATCTTTACAATATTCGGTCCCCGCCCTCTAAACTAATATTGAATGAATCTTTACAAAATTTGGTCCCCGCTCTCTAAACTGATATTGAATTAATCTTTACAATATTCGGTCCCCGCTCTCAAAACTTATATTGAATGAATCTTTACAATATTCGGTCCCCGCCCTCTAAACTTATATTGAATGAATCTTTACAATATTAGGTCCCCGCCATCTAAACTAATATTGAATGAATCTTTACAATATTCGGTCCCCGCCCTCTAAACTTATATTGAATTAATCTTTATAATATTTGGCCCCTGCCCTCTAGCTCTGAATGGAGCCACCCCTTTCTTTATAAAACACTGAGTCCTATGGCCAAGACGCTTTTGTAGCAACTCAGGTTAAAAACCCACTGACATGAGGTGAAGTAGTTTTAATGATTTAATCCTATTTCCTGTACTGGGCTCCAACCCCCCCTGTCCTAGTGGGGTCACAAATATCATTGACACATTACTGAATCCCCTTGCCACAGGGATGCTCCAAACTAAAATCCACTCAGCCACTCTGGACACGTAGTCTTTAAAAGGAAAAGTTAACAAACTGATGCTGTGCCTAGGCATAACTCATAAGACATGGAACACTTAACAAATGGAGCACAAACCTTCTAAGTTGTGACTCGAGCAGGGTCGTCAATCTTGTTGCCTCCGACAACTCTTGCATCAACGAAGACTTCTGCTCTTGTAGTTGAATTCTGAAAATGACAGCAGGTTGAAAGTTGAAAGTGAATTTTACAAGAAAACATGCAGCTGTTACAGGAAACTTATAAACAAGTACAGAAGTATTATTATTGATCGTGATGAATTTTACCACCAGATTTTTCATTTTGGCTTAATGTTTTATATCCAGGACGTACACAATCAAAGCCATGACTTGTATTGACCTGTTCACATGATACAGGGCCCTAAACACATCATCTATATCTATATCTGTGTACTACGATACATGACCTTTGAACCCATTGTTATTTCTTCTCTTCAACAATGTCTATTATTCATGAAACCTGGGCCTTTAGTTCTTACGATAAATGACCTCTGCACATTTGACCTATACCTGTCTGCTATCTGTTTATTGCAGGTTTCTATGGCGACAACGAGGTCATGCTCCAGCTGCTGTATCTGTGCCCGGATGGAGAAGATATCGCTCTCGCTGCGATCCTTTGGGTCAATACTCTTGAGTTCCCGTAATAACTGTTCCTTCTCCTGTAGTAACATGAGCCTGTAACACAGAATCAATTGTATTTTCAATATTTCATTTATATAATTTTTACATGATAAATGAAATTCTGCTATTGTTGAGAGCAGGAAGGAAGTGCTGGATAATGTATAAGCGAGTAAACAAGAATCATAACCGTTGCATGTAACTAGCCAGGATGACACTTCTGAACACATGAAAGTACATACCTCAGCTATATTTGAAAGTTTTGTGATCTTTTTTTTTTTGCTGAAGAGAATAAATTTTACTAAAATGAAAATTGCTTTACAGTGGCAGCCCTTACCTGTCTTTGTCCGACTCATTCTGACCCGGCACCATCTGGTCCTCAACATTGGCCAGTTTGTGCTTGAGGTCAAGTAGTCGGCTGCGGGACTCTTGGTACTGCAGGCGTAGCCGTGTAATCTCCTGGATGTAGGAACTGCTGCCCGGCCCAAGCTGGAATGTCAAACATATGGAGTGCTCTCCCTTTAGATCAAATTGTTCTTATCATAAAGACCTCACCACAACTACTGCCCTTCACACCAACAGGCATTTTCACATAGAGAGCACTGGCCTACAGACAGATTTTGAAAAATCCTACTAGCCCAATATATCTATTTATATTAAATATTGAAATTTTAACTAGCTCGGGCATAAAATGTACTAATACAAGACATTAGGCTAGCGGAATGGTAAACCTGCCTAACAGTAATATCTCTGAAACATCCCTTGTTTATTTACAGTAAACACTGATATAATACTCTCCTTTTACTCATTCACCGCTGAAGACCAATTTGAACTCTTCCAATTCAAAGGTTGAAATAGTTCATTATGAAACTTCAGGGGTGAATGAGTTAAATACAGCAGCCTCAGTATGATGCCCTTTGTTTACAGCAAACCCTTAGTATGATGGCAAAATCCCTCATTTATGTAAAATAAACCTCAATACAACACCTCATGTCTACAGTGAACCTTGACGTAGTCGTCCACTTTTTTAAATATAGAGTAAAACTTTGATATAATGCCCTTCCTTTGTAACCAGCAAAACCTCAATATAATACCCCTTGTTTATATACAATAAAACTTTGATATAATGCCCCTCCTTTGTAACCAGCAAAACCTCAATATAATACCCCTTGTTTATATACAATAAAACTTTGATATAATGCCCCTCCTTTGAAACCAGCAAAACCTCAATATACTACCCCTTGTTTATATACAATAAAACTTTGATATAAAGCGCCTCATTTATCAACATCAAAATCTCTATAAAACTTCAGTAACTACCTCTCCTCGCAGGTCCGTCTGAGAGGCTGTGTTGGACTTCAGAGGTATGGACAGCGTGGACACATCCGGCGACGATCCACCATTTTTAGATGTCAGGAAGTCATCCTTGAGGCGGGCCAGTGACTGAAACAAACAAGTAATTAACAGGTAAATATCAGTAAAATATCCGAGTGTCTCACAACTATACTCTGAACTTGGTATTGCCGGTACATACTGTGTTCCCTATACAACATAGTTATACAAAGTCAGGAGGAACTTCTACTCAGATGGAGGTTTTAGTGTCGTATAAACCAGGTACTCTTATTTCACAGTACCATTGCCAAAAACTGTACCCATATATTGGAAACTTTTTTTCCAGCATACCTATAGCTTTGACAAATCTCTTCTGAACCAAAAACTGTACCTTATGGAGTTTTAATGAAAAAGTTCAGATGAAATAAACAAAACAAATCTGAAATGAGTTCTGAGTGTCTCTGGTGTTTTGTCTGCTATAATGACGTTAGATACCAAAGCTTGCAGAACGTAAACGGAGGGATGTTATTTAGAACAACTACAGTCTAGATTGTTAATAAATGGAAATGAATACAATTAGAGTCAGATTGTTGTAAATGGCGAGCTATTTTGTCATACAAGAAGACAATTCCAAATCTTATAAATCAGTAAATGTCTACTAAATTAAACCTTTATGTCAAAAAATATTATCATATATATCCAAATCAGGCTAATGGCACATAGTTTATCTTAGAACTACTGCATGTGATTATACAAGTCTATGTCTGTACATTATACAAATTAAGTCACAAAACAGTTGTAGAGAAACTGTTTTACTATGTATTATCTTCTACACAGAAATACAATACACATTTCATTCACACAGAACATACGCTACCAGAGTACAAAGTTCATTCATAAAACAGGGACTCAATTAAAACTGGGAGTAAACCATTTAATGTGCGACACCAAACACGACACTCGTAACAAAACATAATAATGCACATCTCTAGTGCTAGATGTCACAGGTTATATATAAGGTAACACAAAGCAAATCTTACCAAGTAATTATTTCAAATTTTCAAAATGTGATTTTTGAAAAACATTTGTAAATCAACAAATATTTTGGTATTGTTTGCCTAGGGATGATCATTCCTTATGAATGTCTTTACATGTAGTTTTAGTTTTGCATGTTAGATATTTAAAATTACGCTGAAAGAAAAGTTTGTGTTCAGCTGTTGATGATCTAATTCCTCTTTGAGTAAATGGCCTAGAGGCCTGCAGGCTTATTAAATCCTTGCCTGGTACCACGTTAACGTGAGAAAGATTTGGTAGACACTTGTACGTAGGAAAGTATGACCTGTTGACAGTCATAACATCCTGTCACAACATCCTGTGTGTTCTATAGGGGACGACAGTGTGAGAAGGACGTCAACAGTCTTATTCATAAATAAGTACATCATGATGAATATGTTACTGGTTTTTAGTCCGGACATACAAGTATTCCAACTTTTCTCCAAACTGTTTATCAAAGTAATCCAGTATATTTCAGCCATGACTGACTATGTTAGCAATGTCAGGACTACCTGACCTCCAGACAGGACTATCTGACCTTCAGGCAGGACTACCTGACCTTCAGACAGGACAGACTACCTGACTTCCAGACAGGACTGTACTACCTGACCAACAGATAGGACTACCTGACCTCCAGACAGGACTATCTGACCTCCAGACAGGACTACCTGACCTCCAGACAGGACTATCTGACCTCCAGACAGGACTACTTGACCTTCAGACAGGACTGACAGGACTACCTGACCTACAGATAGGACTACCTGACCTCCAGACTGGACTATCTGACCTTCAGACAGGACAGACTACCTGACCTATACAGATAGGACTACCTGACCTCCAGACAGGACTATCTGACCTCCAGACAGGTCTAGCAGACCTCCAGACAGGACTACCTGATCTCCAGACAGGTCTAACTGACCTCCAGATTGGACTACCTGACCTCCAGACAGGACTACCTGACCCCCAGATAGGTCTACCTGACCTCCAGACAGGACTACCTAACCTACAGACAAGTTGCAGAAGAGCTACATGCTTTTCCCTTAATTTTCTGGTTCTCATGTGTTTATTACAAAATAGCCATCACCTGCAGTTACTCTAGCATCAATAACCTGATGTAAAAAAAGAAGTTACATTTGACATATTCTATCAAAGGAAAACAAGAGGCCCATGGGCCTTAACGGTCACCTGAGTCCTACAGTATTTATTTTTGTTGTTGAAATATGTACCAATTTGAGTAAAAAATAGTTAAGAATATGGTTAACTTAACTTTGTCAGGACCATGAGCTGATCATTCCTAGACCGATTTTCAGTGAGATCGGCCTATTAGAACTTGTTTTTAAGTTTGAAATAGGTATTTACAAAATAGCGGTCATGGCAGCCAAATTGTATTTCTGATTGACCCGAAAAATAACAACACTTTGTCAGGACCATGAGGCGATCATTCCTACCAACTTTCAGTTCAATCGGTCCAGCAGAACTTGACTTTAAGTTTGAAATAGGTTTTCAAAATGGCGGCCGTGGCGGCCATATTGGATTTCTGATCGACCCGAAAAATAACAACACTTTGTCAGGACCATGAGGCGATCATTCCTACCAACTTTCAGTTCAATCGGTCCAGCAGAACTTGACTTTAAGTTTGAAATAGGTTTTCAAAATGGCGGCCGTGGCGGCCATATTGGATTTCTGATCGACCCGAAAAATAACAACACTTTGTCAGGACCATGAGGCGATCATTCCTACCAACTTTCAGTTCAATCGGCCCAGCAGAACTTGACTTTAAGTTTGAAATGTAAAATGTTAACGGACGACGGACGACGGACGATGGACGACGGACGACGGACGACGACGGACGAAAACGGATAGCAATAGGTCACTTGAGCTAAAGCTCAGGTGACCTAAAAATGTAATGGGTCTACAAATGTATATTGTACGAATTTAACACAAAGAAAATTGTACATATGTCCTACATATAGAGACATCTAGCTGTACACACTGCACAGGGCCTACACAAAGACATCTATACACTCTACAGGGCCTACATAGAGACAACTGTATATACTGTACAGGGCCTACATAGAGACAGATGTACACACTGTACAGGGCCTACACAGAGACACCTGTATACACAGAGACACCTGTATACACAGAGACACCTGTATACACTCTACATGGCCTACACAGAGACAGTTGTACACACTGTACAGGCCTACACAGAGACACATATAAACTCTACAGGGCCTACATACAGACAACTGTATATACTGTACAGGACCGACACAAAGACATCTATAAACTATACAGGGCCAATATAGAGACATCTGTATATACTGTACAGGGCCAACATAGAGACAACTGTATATACCGTACAGGGCCTACACAAAGACATCTATAAACTCTACAGGGCCTACACAGAGACAGCTGTATATACTATACAGGGCCTACACAAAGACATCTATAAACTCTACAGGGCCTACATAGAGACAACTGTATATACTGTACAGGGCCTACACAAAGACATAACTCTACAGGGCCTACAAAGAGACAACTGTATATACTGTACAGGGCCTACATAGAGACAACTGTATATACTGTACAGGGCCTACATATACTATACAGGGCCTACACAAAGACATCTATAAACTCTACAGGGCCTACATAGAGACAACTGTATCTACTGTACAGGGTCTACACAAAGACATGTTTACACACTGTACAGGGCCTACACAGAGACACCTGTATACACTCTACATGGCCTACACAGAGACACCTGTATACACTTTACATGGCCTACACAGAGACACCTGTATACACTTTACATGGCCTACACAGAGACATCTGTATACACTGTACAGGCCTACACAGAGACACATGTATACACTGTACAGGCCTACACAGAGAAGGGCCTACAAAGAGACAACTGTATATACTGTACAGGGCCTACACAAAGACATGTTTACACACTGTACAGGGCCTACACAGAGACACCTGTATACACTGTACAGGCCTACACAGAGACACATGTATACACAACTGTATATACTGTACAGGGCCTACACAAAGACATGTTTACACACTGTACAGGGCCTACACAGAGACACCTGTATACACTGTACAGGCCTACACAGAGACACATGTATACACTGTACGACATGTTTATACACTGTACAGGGCCTAAACAAAGACATCTATAAACTCTACAGGGCCTACACAGAGACAGCTGTATATACTATACAGGGCCTACACAAAGCCATCTATAAACTCTACAGGGCCTACATAGAGACCACTGTATATACTGTACAGGGCCTACACAAAGACATGTTTACACACTGTACAGGGCCTACACAAAGACATGTTTATACACTCTAGGGGGCTTGCACAGAGACAGCTGTATATACATGTACTGTACATGGCCTACACAAAGACATGTATACACTCTAAGGGGCTTACACAGACACACATGTACACACTGCACAGGGCCTACACAAAGACATCTATACACTCTACAGTGCCTACACAGAGACAGCTGTATACACTCTACATGGCCTACCAAAAACACAGTTGTATACACTGTATAGGGCCCACGTATACACAGAGACACCTGTATACATTGTAGAGGGTCTAAACAAATACAACTGTATATACTGTACAGGCCTACACCGAGACACCTGTATACATTGTACAGGGCCTAACAAATACAACTGTATACACTGTACAGGCCTACACAGAGACACCTGTATACACTCTACAGTGCCTACACAGAGACACCTGTACACACTCTACATGACCTACACAGAGACACCTGTATACACTCTACATGGCCTACACAGATACACCTATATACACTCTACATGGCCTACACAGAGACAGTTGTACACACTGTACAGGCCTACACAGAGACACCTGTATACACAGAGACACCTGTATACACTCTACATGGCCTACACAGAGACAGTTGTACACACTGTACAGGCCTACACAGAGACACCTGTATACACAGAGACACCTGTATACACTCGACATGGCCTACACAGAGACACCTGTATACTCTCTACATGGCC